AAGCTTCAAGAGCTGTACGGCCCCGGCGTGCTCCCTGACAGCCTCCTCAACATTCTCAACAGAGATTGCACGCGCCTCGAGCACTGCTGTCCTGCAGGGACGTGCCGGGCATCTGTATGCGGCGATCTCCTCAAGGTGTTGATGCCGATGGTCTTGAAATTGCAGTCCAAGCCCATCACCACGAGATTCTTTTTATCGCACTCGCTGGCGCGATCCCGCGCCGCGCGGTGTAAGACGGCGGGGGGCTCGAGGCGCCCCCGCCCGCCCCCTCTTGCCCCTCCGCCCTCTGTTGATCTCGCCCTTTCGGCCCAGGCGTTGGCCACGCTGAACTTTGGTTTTCAAAGAGAAGCAGCATTTTGTGATCGTCTTCATTCTACGGATCCCGACGGGAGGGGGATTTGCCATCGAAGAGAACCGTCGCTTAGGGCTTGGCCACTCCTGTGTGGGGGTCCGAAGCTTCGCGCCCTGCGTGTGGTCTCTCCTTTTGATGGACATGCTGTGCATCGCAGAGCCTCTCTTCACTCTTGCCAGACTTCGACCGGCCCAAGAGAATTCGAAGCGCTGCAAGTTGTTGAAAGACTTCTTCGCTGCACCTGCAACTGGACCAGACCTGCGGAGAGCTAGCCTCTGCCTTCAGCTCACCGACCATGCCGTCAGGATTACTGCCCAGACAAAGCTTCGAGAGAACGACAAGAGGCCCTTGTTGGTCAGATTGGCGCAAGGACACGTTCAACGGCAGACCAACGCACACCTGCAGAGACTTCTCCCGCTGTTGCCCGTCGATGATAAGCTCCACGTCGGGGCCTGCGCGAGCGCCCCGTTCGTTGCCCAGTCACACCTGGTTGTCCGCTTCGAGGAGTACGCAGGGTACCCCGGCAAGCTGTGGGGGGCTTCCCGCGCGCACAACCCTCTCGGCAAGCAGGGGTCAAACCTCGTTGTCGTCGTGGTCGTGGTCGTGGTCGTGGTCGTCGTCTGTCCAGAGGAATCCGGAGGTTTCCGGACGTCCTCCCGCGTTCCTGAGCGTCTCTGGACGTCTGGCTTTCAGGATTCTGAGTATGGTTTCTGCCTGTGCCTCCCGGCGCGGGCATTCCCTGGCAAGGCTACCCCACTGGCTGCAGAGCGCTCCTCGCCGAGGAGCCCGCTTCCCTGGGCGCGGGCTTCACGCTGGGTCTGCAAGCCCGCGCGCTGCCCAAGGGAGGCTTCGCGGACGCGACCGCTTATTTGGAGGGCAGCGAGGCGCAGGCGGAGATTGACCACGTCCTCGAGGCCACGCTCGTGACTTCGCTGGAGGCCGAGAGGAAACACCATCAGGACACAGCTCCAGAGAACCAGTAAGCCCGCACCATAGCGACTGCATCTCGGAACCAACTGTTGCACCAATACCACGTTCGCCGAGAGCAGTTCCCCCCCATGAGACTGGGCCCCCAGAGACGCGCAGACCAGCTTCGCATGCAGAACTTGTGGAGCTTTGCGAGGGCTCGGTGGCCGCACTTGGCGCCGCGCCCGCGAGGCGTGCGCTTCGGCGCAGGGGTGGCGGAGGCAGCCACCAGCCGCGATCTGGTTCACGAGGGCGACCAGGATGCCCCGAAGAATCTCGCGGAGCAGCACCGCGGGGAATTGCGGGCCCAGGTCGACGCTGCGCATGCGGAGGCCCGTCGGTTGATGGCGCTTGCCAAAGAGAGCGTGCTTCCGACAACGCAGAGCGACTGGCTGCAGTGGCTCGAATCCAACGAGGTCGTCTTCTCAGACATGTACAAGGCCATTCGCGCCGCCAGGCGCGAATTGAGCGCCCGCTTGGTGCCCCGGCCGTCCTTGAGTGCTTTGCCACCGTCTGCGTGGCCGCGCGTGCAACCCACTAGGTGCCGCGACGCCCCGGTATGGGAGCGCAAGATTAGTCATTTACGGTCCGGCTACGCGTCCATCCTGTGGGGGAATGGACCTGGTGAGAGAGTGGTGGTGTTCTTTGCTGTTCTGAATGGCGAGGGCCGTTACCTGCTCTTACACAACGACCCCGTGGGGTCCAACCGCTACTTTCTGAGCTACAACACTGATTTCAGGCGGTCTTTCTTGACGCACGAGGAGCTCGAGGCCAGGCACCAGGGACTCCGTCGGGAAGAGGCCGTCCGCGTGTTCACATTCTCCGTGGAGACGACATGTGGCATGGGGGGGCTTCGCCTGCGGTGCTTGCCGCCGCCGCAGGAGCAGGTCCGCGTGAACCCTTTGCTCGCGAAGGCCGCCGATGAGGCTCCGGAGCTGACAGGGGACCAGGACGACGCCGGCTTCCCGCCCGAGGACGAGGAAGAGGTACTGTCGGATATGGAGGACTCGGCCGCCGAGGAGGCGGAGGAGGGCGAGGGTGGCGACGGCGAAGAACCAGACGACGCTGTCGCGGAGGCAGGCGGAGGGGACGACGAAGACGGGGCTGATCGGGCGTCCCCAGGGACGTACGTTCTCTGGAATAATGGTTATTTCTCGTGCAAGCATAACCCGATGTGGCCTGACGTGAAGATCAGCGTCCTCCCCCGGTGGACAGGGCCCGAGGACATGGGGAAAGCCCACCAAAGGCACAAGACAGCCACCATCAGCCACCACGGATCTGACGGCCGCGAGAGGCAGAGGACCGAGCTCGTACTTCGGGCTTGGATGATCTTTCGCTTCCAGGTCAATGGATTTGCTGCGGCCACGCCGCTCCGGAAGGCGTGGGTGGCGGCTGAGATTGAGGCGCTAACACGGGAAGTGGCCGCTCTCCCCGGCCCAGCCACCGGGCGCCCCAAGGCAGACAGTAGGATCCGGGATTGGTGCCCGCAGGCTTTGTGAGCACATAAAGCGTTCGTAATGTTGTCACCATCGTCAGAGATGAAGGAGAGGAGGAGTAGAAGGAGGGGGAGGAGCAGCAGCAGCAGCAGCAAGAGCAGGAGGATACGGAGGACCACGAGACACACATGCGACACTGATAATACATTAATGGCGCATGAATGCTATTCTTATTATTATGCGGCGATTCTTGCTATTCCGAGCCATTCTCGTCGCATTCTCGTCGAACGCACGTCCATTCTCGTCGAATTCTCGTCGAACGCCCGTCGAGCGGCCGTCAAACGCCCGTCGAACGGCCGTCGAACGCCCGTCGGACGGCCGTCGAACAGGCCGAAGGGGGAGGAGGAGGAGGGGGAGGAGGAGGAACGGGGGGGTGTCTTCCACGGCGGCCTAGCTTCGCGAAGGTCCGCTTGGGCGGGTGTGCCGGGCGAGCTGAGCTCGCCTGTGTGCCGCGGGGGGCTGGGCCGCCTTGGAAGACCCCCCCCCCCCGTTCCCAGGCGCAGAGGCCCCCATGCGGGTGAGAGAAATCAGAGCACCTAAGTGCAAGCGCTTGGGGAATGTATCCCTGGTTCAAGACTAGGAAAAACAATCCCCCTCCCCGCCTCCAAGTAGCGCAGGCGAGCCGGCCGGGCCCGCGGGCAGGCCCGTCGAACAGGCCGAAGGGGGAGGGGGAGGAGGGGGGGGAGGAGGAGGAACGGGGGGGTGTCTTCCACGGCGGCCTAGCTTCGCGAAGGTCCGCTTGGGCGGGTGTGCCGGGCGAGCTGAGCTCGCCCGTGTGCCGCGGGGGGCTGGGCCGCCTTGGAAGACCCCGGGCCCGTCGAACAGGCCGAAGGGTGAGGAGGGGGAGGGGGGGGAGGAGGAAAGGGGGGGAGGAGGAGGACAGGGGCGTCGCCCATGCTATCGTGATCAGTATCTGTCAGGAAAGGCCTGGCAGAGATGCTTTGGATGGTGCGGTCAGGCTGGAGCTCCCGGTATTTAAACACCTGTTGCTGCGATCTCGGCCCCACGACCAGAAGTCGACCGAACGCCCAGCTCGGGCACAGAAGAGTACGGAAGAGGGAGAGACAGAAGCGAGAGAAATGCATGGAGACGACTGGGATCGAGAAGAGGATTTGCTTCAAAATGCCCCGCCGGATTTCGCTTCCCACAGCTCCTGGTGTCACGGAATACCCCCCCTCTGGTGTCACGGAATGCCCCCCTGGATTCCGGCAAACATTGGGACCACAGTGGGCCCCAAACAGTGTGTTCAAGCAGTATATGTGGTGCAATATATGCGGGCCGTTCCATGCGACGCAAACATCAATCACGATATGCGGTGCATGCTCGTGGGAACGGGGAGGTGTCTTCCACGGCGGCCTAGCTTCGCGAAGGTCCGCTTGGGCGGGTGTGCCGGGCGAGCTGAGCTCGCCCGTGTGCCGCGGGGGGCTGGGCCGCCTTGGAAGACCCCAGGCCCGTGGAACAGGCCGAAGGGTGAGGAGGAGGAGGGGGGGGAGGAGGAAAGGGGGGGGAGGAGGAGGACAGGTGCGTCGCCGATGCTATCGTGATCAGTATCTGTCAGGCAAGGCCTGGCAGAGATGCTTTGGATGGTGCGGTCAGGCTGGAGCTCCCGGTATTTAAACACCTGTTGCTGCGATCTCGGCTCCGCGACCAGAAGTCGACCGAACGCCCAGCTCGGGCACAGAAGAGTACGGAAGAGGGAGAAACAGAAGCGAGAAAAATGCATGGAGACGAATGGAGTCGAGAAGAGGATTTGCTTCGAAATGCCCCGCCGGATTTCGCTTCCCACAGCTCCTGGTGTCACGGAATACCCCCCCCCCTTTGGTGTCACGGAATACCCCCCTGGATTCCGGCAAAGATTGGGACCGCAGTGGGCCCCAAACAGTGTGTTCAAGCAGTATATGTGGTGCAATATATGCGGGCCGTTCCATGCGACGCAAACATCAATCACGATATGCGGTGCATGCTCGTGGGAACGGGGAGGTGTCTTCCACGGCGGCCTAGCTTCGCGAAGGTCCGCTTGGGCGGGTGTGCCGGGCGAGCTGAGCTCGCCCGTGTGCCGCGTGGGGCTGGGCCGCCTTGGAAGGCCCCCCCCCGTTCCCAGGCGCAGAAGCCCCCATGCGGGTGAGCGTAAGTGCAAGCACTGGTATGGGAGGAGGGAGACTTCTTGCTCGCATGATGCACCCAAGGCTTTCCTGGGGCACCGTGCCATTCTGGCTCAAGCCGGGCCCGAGAGGGGCTTCGCAGACGGTTGGGTTGAAGTCTGGCTTGCGTGTGGGTGGCATGTCGACCGTGCATTTGCCTCCGGCCGGCGAGATCAAGGCCGCGGTGGACGGCGCGCCCACTTCGGGCCCGAACGCGAGGGAGGGCCGGCGGACACTGAAGCAACTCTCGCAGAGGTGCCCGCAGGTCGATGCCAGCGATGAGAACAACTTGCGCCTCGTGGTTGCGATGAAAAGTCCGAGCCCCGCCCACCCGCCCCTTTCGCATTTGCCGCTGCTTTCCGGCCGTTGCTGGTGGAGGTGGAGGAGGAGGAGGAGGGTGGGGGAGGGGGAGGAGGAGGATGAAGGGAGGAGGAGGAGGACGAGGAGGGAGGAGGAGGAGGAGGTAGGAGGAGGAGGAGGGGGAGGGGAGGGGGGGGGGGGAGGAGGAGGAGAAGGAGGAGGAGGTGGAGAGGAGGAGGAGGAGGAGGAGGAGGAGGAGGAGGAGGAGGGTACGGAGGAGGGGGGAGAGGAGGAGCAGAAGGAGGAGGAGGAAGAGGAGGAGGAGGAGGATAATGATCGGCATTGCTGAAGGTCTGGGGGTGACTAACGTGAACCTGTCCACTTTCAAGGACTGGGCGAAGAAGGTGACTGGGTTCGTCACTGACGAACAGATGGTGTACTTGCAGCCAAAAGCAGATCTGACACCCACGCCTGCTCAGAGGAAGTGGTTCTCCTGGGTCTGTCACATTACTTTCTACAGAGATAGTGCGTTCCTCGGGAGCGGCCTGAGAACGGCCAGGTGTCCGGGGTGGTTTGGGGGGCTCCCAGGGGGCCGCTCCGCCCCGCGCGAGGCGGCCCCCTGGGAACCTTTCGGCTCCGCAGGCTCGTGCCGGAGTGGAAAGTGAAGGGGGCGGTGGACACTGAGACGTACTGGGTGTTCGAGACGGGGGATCGCCCGTCTTGGGGTCGAAACCGCCACCCACCCCCAACGCTGGGCCCGAAGCCTGCCGCGATCCCCCTGGGCGGGGGTCGCGGCAGGCTGCGAGGCCAGAGGGGCGGGGGGCGGTTCCGCCGCCAGGGTAGGCGATCCCAAGGACGCCGGGCGACCTTTTGGGCAGCCTGCCCATCCGGAGGCGCATCGGCGTCACGGGGGCCCGAGACATGGGGGAGCAGGCGGGGCTGCTGGCGCTCGGGGGGGGCGCGGCCACGGCCTCCGGGAGCCGTTCCAGCGGAGCCGCAGCGCCGACCGTGGAGCCAGCCGAGCAGGAGGAGACGAGGAAGGGGGAGGGGAACGGCGAGCCCGCGCCCGCCAAGCCCGGCTACGACCCAGGGGCCAAGCGCCCTTGCCCAGGGGACGGCGCGGGCGGTGCTGCAGACAAGCGCCAGCGCCCCCTGCCACAGCAGCCCAGCGATCCCGACCACGAGAAGGCTTCTCGTGGTGCGCGCGTGCACGTAGACGTATACGTGTGCATACGCATACGTATGCACACGGGGGCCCTTGTCTCCACGGGGGGGCCCTTGTCGCCACGGCTGGACGCAGCCCGGAAAATTGGTGCGTTTTGGACCTGGGAGGGGCCCGGGGCCCGATTTTGAGTTCGCACTTCTTCTGTCGTCGCCACGGCTGGTCGCTGTGTCTGCAAGCCCCCTTCTCCGACTGTATGTGTATACGCAAGCTTTGGAAGGGGGCCGCGGCGCTGTTCAAGGGGTGCAAGGAGGACTGCAAGGCGGGCCGGTACATGAGCCCCGACGCAATGGATGGCAACAACGCCTTGTTCAAAGTCCGGATGTTTACTTCCTGGTTGGCCGATAGGCAGGGGGGGGCTGCTGGCGCGGCCGCGTATTTGCCACACGAGAAGGAGTTCTTCAAGTTCGTCGTACCGGCTGATGTGACTTGTGGTGTTTGCTTATGTTTTTTTGTTGCTTGGCTTTTTGTTTGTTGTCCTTTTCTCTTGCTGCTTTTTTTTTTCTTTTTACTGTTTGTTTTTTTATATTAGTTTGCTGGATTTTTCACTTGTTAGATGTTTGTCCAACGTTTGACTGGGTGGTTGTTCCGACGGTCTTGCTGGAGGGCGACACCTGGGCGTGCATGCCGGCGTTTGTCAAAGTCTTCGAGGAGGCGGAGAAATTGGACGGATCCCTGCTTCCCAAGATCGTCAAAGCGATCAGTGCACTCTGCAAGGTGCCGCTCACGGCGGGTTGGAAACACGGCAGCACTGAGGGCCAGGAGGTCGACTTGGCATCTTTCAAGCTCAGCCCAGGAGAGACGGCAATCTTGACAGACTGCGCTTTCTTCCGGTCGTTCAAGCAGGCCCGCTTCGAAGCGCTCTTCGCGCTCGCCAAGGAAAACAAACTCCCGCCCGCGCGCCAGAGAGCTGACCTGGCACCCCGACGACGACGACGACGACGACGACGACGACGACGACGGCGGCGGCGACGACGGCGACGACGACGACGGCGGCGGCGGCGGCGGCGACGACGACGACGACGACGACGACGAGAGGGACGACGACGACGGCGACGACGGCGACGACGACGACTACGACGACGGCGACGACCACGACGACGACGGCGGCGGCGGCGGCGACGACGACGACGAGAGTGACGACGACGACGGCGACGACGACGACAGGGGCGACGACGACGACGAAGGACGGGCGGCTGACGACGACGGAAGAAAACGAGGACGACGACGACGGCGACGGCGGCGACAGCGACAGCGACAACGGCGGCGACCTTGACGACGTTGTCGGCACGCATGCTCGCGTCCACGT